TTATTGTTTACAGTCTATCTACTGCGTGCAAAATTAAGTAATCGTGCTACAAATAGTTTATGATTTGTCTACCAGTGGTGCTAGACTGTTTCCTTTGTCCCTCATTCTGTTTTGGAGCACTTTTTCTCCCTCTGTGCACACTGATTCCATGATAGTTCTTTCTAATTCGATATATCATGAATCACTTTTTACTGCCCCAACAATGGAAGCCAAAGCCCACATTCAGAGGAATACTTCCTGCTGCTTCAATGTGATTATATCATTTTATGCAAGTGAAATTTCCTAAAATGCGTTACCTTATCGAGCATGTATGTATCCTTTAGGACAAGTGACTCCAGTCCAGTTTAAGTGTGCAGAAAAAAGAGCTAGGCATTTAATTTATTCAACACCTTGTCTTGATTTGGTTAAAGTTCTTCAGCTGACTAGATTATATTAGTATCAAATTCTTGTGTTTCCCTATTTTATTTGCTGTAAAGGATGTTAAGGATTCTAACAAAAGGATGTCCACAGCAATGTTAACAACGTCTCACATGTTGACAGAAAGTATTAGAAAAATGTCACCCATCTGTTTTCATTTCGGGTTTCTAGAATTTGCAGGTTTTTTGACTTAGTCTGTGGAGTCTAAACCACTGCCCTAATTACAATCAGCTAACTCAGACCAGACCCCAGTGATCAAACTTAACTCCTGGTCTCTGTGATTGTAGCATTGCACCGCATGGTCATTTACCCAACAGTGGTGCTTACACTGTCTGCTTCCCTGACTGATGGATGACCAAGTCATGTTTGTGTTTTTGGACAATGTTGTTTTTTTTTATCTAGCTGAACAGCTTATTTAGTTTTAATGTGCCTTTGCCAAACAAAAAATTGCGCCACTTTGCACATGTATTTAAGATCAATTAGAATATTTCAGAATTATCAGTATTAAAGGAACAATTGTGGGGACGGAGGAGACAATGAAGGCAGAAGGGAGTGAAAAGCATTGGAAAAGGGCAAAGAAGTATAGCCTATTAGAATGGGGTGGAAAAGTGGAGCTTTTGTAGGAAAGAGGGCGTTGCTGTAAAAAGGAATTGAAGCATATTAGAGAAAATGAGGTTGGGTGAGGGCAGGATGCTGGAATTGTGGAAGCAAAAATATTAGCAAGATAAAAGATTTGATGAGGGCGTTCAGCTGGGATCTTTGGGATGAAATCGTGCTCAGTTGGGGAGGTTCAAATGATGAAACTTAGCTCACTGTGAGGTTATAAGGAGTGGGTGGGGTATAGCAGGTTTTAGCTCTCAGTAGTGGAGTGATGGATATGCAACCTTTGCTCAGTGGAAGTCTGCTGAGAGCCAAGTTCAGTGGGGGAGGAACGGTATATGCAAGGTTGCTGTCCCTCAGTGCTGTAATTGAGTTCTGCTTCTCATTAGTTCTATTCAACTTCATGATTCTTTCTATTTCTGTGTATTTTTTTAACATTAGTTTCAATTTTAAGTAGATTTGTGGTATTTGAAATTTGGTTATGGACTGTTTGTTCCTGTGTTGGGCCGCAGCTCCATTACTTGAGTCAGCTGGTAGTGCTTCCACAGGCAGCTTGTCCATTTTAGAAAATGAATATAGTGATACCTCACTCACCAGCATCAATTCTACAATGAGCCCCAAAGTTAGGATGTTGCTATAATGGGAGAGCAGCCCCTCCCCCATCCCGCCTCGATAAATCATCTTTTGCATGTCTTTCTGAAATAAAAATGGCTGTTTATTGGTAGCTGTTGCTTAAATCCCAGGAGGTATTGAAGAAGCCAAAGTAAAGTGAGAGCAGAGCTTTTGCAATCAGACTTCTCCATGGGGAGCCTTAAACAGGCGATAGCCTCCTTATGCTCAAATTACCTTCCAACGTTTGATATGTGAATCACCAGTGGAAAAATATTTGCTTTTCTTTATTCTTTCATGGGATGTGGATATCACTAATAAGATCAGCATTTGTTGCCCATCCCTTACTGTCCTTGAACCAAAGGTCTTTAGGCAGGCATTTAAGAGTCAACTACACTGACCTGGATCTGGAGTTGCCTGTAGGCCAGATCAGATAAAGATTGCAGATTTCCTTCCCTAAATGATATTAATGAACCAGATTTATTTTTCTGACAATCATTTCATGAATACCATCATTGAGACTAGTTTAATATATCATAATTATTAAGAGTTTAAATTCCCCCAGCTGCCATTATAATGGACCAGACCAAACCCCTGCAGTTATATCAAGGAGATAGGGCCTAGGCCCTAACTTTTATCTTATTTAAAGACCAGTGTAAGGTGCTGTGTTCCAGACGTAATTCGATTGGTCTTGCTACTTGACTTTAAGCAAAACACATATCATTCTTGCCCCAGTTAAAATACAAAGAAAGGGAAGAATTGGTATAACTTTAACTCCATCAGAAAACTTAACCGAATAATAGATTATTTAACTACAAAACCGCTACTATTCCAATACAGTAACATCCCATAAACACCCCGTTGGCAAAGGCAGATTCAGTAAAACAGATTGTGTGTGTCTCTCTGGCAGCAGGAAGAACTCGAGCTTTTAGCTGTAACAGAGAACGATATAGCAGGCTCCATAGCCAGCTTCAAAACTCTAGCAACTACTGAAAGCTAAACTAAAATCCTGGTTCTGTGGGAGCCTGACTCCCACCCATTCATGCTACTTCCTATTGTTTTCAAAAAAAAATCCCAAGGCCTCTCAAACTTTACTTTATTGGCATTGAACGGACCACTCGTTACCTCTGTTTCAACTTCTCTTCATGAAAAACTCAGAACAAAATGCATCTCTTAAAGCCATAGTTTTGTCACACCGTTGTGGAATTTGAACCAGTGAGCCCAGCGAATTTTCTTGCACCTCTGGATTACTATCTGAGTGACATTACCATTATATGCTGCCACCTTCACTTCAGGATTGTTGGTACCTGTCATGCTCATCAATCAATCTGCATCTCTGGCAGCATTAAAGGGAACTACTAAATCTAACGTGGTTGAGTTGGGAGATTTCAGTGTTCAAACCCAGTCTCTTACTTTGTAATACTCGGAAGATTTCATTTAAATAGGTACAAATCCTAAAGTAAAAATCATAATCATACTCTTCAATAAGTTAGAATTATGTAAAGGTTCTGTGTGTTTACTTAAAACTGTCATTTTGCATGGAAATAAATGCTGTCAAAATTGCATGTTTTCAACAAACCAAACATAGTTGTATATGAAATTGATTTGTAATGATTCATCAATGCAATCCTAGCTAAAGTTTTTTTGATAGATTACTAGTTAATATCTAATATCTGACTAAGATGGAACTTCAGGAATTCAATCTTGCCTTCTTTCTTGATATTGAGCTAGGGTGCAATTTGTCAAGTTTCCTTGGTAATGTGACATTTGACCTTTTGCTACTTGTGTACCTACTGCATAGTTCTGACATTCATTGACCTCTAGATCCCTAGAAGTGATATGACTAATGGCCATCTGCAGAATTTGGAGTTAAACTCGATTTGCCGTCGAGATTTTATCTGCCGATTGAGTTATATCAATCTTTATAACTGTTTGAAAACATTACAAAGTACAGTTTATTTTGAATCATACGTTCAATAGTGCCTATGCAAGGAAGGCTCTTTATAATATGTGCTGTATATATTTTTCGTCTTCAGCATCATTTGATACCAATACTGGGCATTGAATTGTCTCTTTGCTCATTAAAGAAATTTAGAAAGTTGGAAACAGTTTGGCAAATTCTTTGTAATACTTTTGGTTCTGGCTTTCAATTTAGTGAGGAAAAAATGAAAACCAATTTGATACCAGTCGGGTGAGGTGCTTCAAATAGTATTCTGTTTAGACTGCATGTTATTTTGAATTGAATGAGTTTGAAGTATTAGTAGCTATTGATTAACTAAAATAGATGATACACTGAGTTACAATGCCACCCTTTCACCATGAGGATTTAGGTCTAGGCAACTTGTGGCAGTCTTTCTGGTCACTGTAAGGATCATCCATGAAATGGGTTTGAGCAATGTTTTCTTAGTTTCTTGGGGGGTTTGTATGCATTCCCAGTATTGAACTTCTTTTTACTTTGTTAATGGAAGTAATCTTCACTGCTGAGGCTGGCTAATGTGGAAGGTTTGAGAATTTAAAAAACCCCAGTAATAGGTATGCTTAAGAGATTAGATTATGGGATAAAGGAGATCTGGTGGGAGTATGCTTTGTTTCAAATACTCAGCCATTACAAATTTAAAAAATGCATATTGGACTCTTAACATTAACTCTGTTTCTCTCACCACAGAAGCTTCCAGACTTGCTGAATTTCTCCAGCATTTTTTTTTCTGTTTTTATTTCAGATCCCCGACATGATTAGCACTCTGCTTTTATTTTGTTGAAGTATTTTTTTTAAAACGTGTTTTTAATTTTGTTGTCTAAATCTTTTCGTACATGTCCGTGCCAGCTAGCCAAGAAAGTATGTTTTTGGCAGAGTATGCAACATATGTAATCTGTTGTGTGCCCCTCGATTACCCGTTGCTCAAAAGCCCACCACCCCCAATGAGCAAGTTTCAAGCCACCATCTCTGCTGCAATGAATGAAGTCGTAGCAAGATACAATACCCTTCTTCCAAACATTTTTGTAATGGGAGCAGACTTGATACTTCCCACCAATGACTATACTTTGTGTGTTTTTGATGCATTATAAAACTTTTTTGTTTCACTCACTGACTTATCGTTAACATGGTTAATTGTGTTGTACTTCTGTATTTCAATCGATAAAACTATTAAACAAAAGTCATTTAAAACATAATATGTATTTTTTGATCAAGCAATCTGCAGTGCATGGCATGAATGCGTTGACTAAGAGATGTGAACATTAGCAGGTAATTTATTTAGAGCCTTGAAAATGAGCAAATATTGGTTAAGGGAAGTTTGACACAATACAAGTGAATGCTTGCACAGCATTTAATTTTGACAAGTAATATTTTTTCTTGTTGGTCTTTATTATTTCAGATCTTTTATCCTGAGACGACAGACGTTTATGATCGGAAAAATATGCCTCGAGTGATCTACTGCATACATGCACTAAGGTAACCTGGAAAACAATGGGAGACTGAGTTTATACCCATGACTGGGGTTAGAGCATTCATACATTGGATGAAGCGTCCTTTGTGAACAATGTAAATCTTGTGCAATGCTACCGGCAATGTAGAGATATAAATGTGATCCCAGATAATAACACTGCAGGCACCACGTAAAATGTATTATTAGTGTAGGTAAATAAGAACTTGTCCATGTTAATGACTTTTAGGAGAATGAATGTATTATTATAGCCAGTTTTGGGGATTATATGAAAATAAGAGGGAAGACGAATGGTGTAAATGATACAAAAGGTCTGCAGAGGAATATAGACAGGTTAAGTGAGTGGGCAAAATTTTGGCTGATGGAATATAATGTGGGAAAATGTGAGGTTGTGCACTTTGACAGTAAGAATAGAGGAGCTGAATATTATTTAATTGGAGGAAGACTACAGAAAGCTCCAGGAGAGGGGGATTTGGGGTTTCTTGACTCTAAAATCACAAAAAGCTAGCATACAATAGCACATCATGGGGGAGGAAAATGGAATGTTGGCCTTAATTTACAGGGAAATGAAGCATAAAGGTAGGGAAGTTCTTGCTAAAACTAAATAAAGCAATCATTAGACCACAGCTGGACTGCTGAGAGTAGTTGTAGTCCCCTTATCCAAGGAAAGATGTACTGTAATTGGAGGCAGTCCAGAGAAAGTTCACCAAGTTGGATTTGGGTATAGAGGGGTTTTCTTATGGGGAGAAGTTGAGTAGATTGGGCCTGTCCTCATTGGAGTTCAGAATAATGAGAGGCAACCTGTTGAAATGCATACAATTTATAGGGGGCTTAACAGGGTGGATCCAGAGAGGTCATTTCCCCTTGTGGGAGCATCTATGCCCAGAGGGCTAACTCTGAGTGAGTGATTACATATTTAAAGCAGAGATGAGAAGGATTTTTTTTGTCTGAGGGTAGTGAATCTGTGGAATTGTTTATCAAAAAGGGCTGTCAAGGCTGAATTGATAACATATATTAAGGACTGAGATACAGGTTTTAGTCAATAAGGGAACCCAGAGTTATTGGGAAAACATGGGAAAGTGGAGTTGTGGATTATTGGATCAGCCCTGTCACAATCTACCTCTGCTCTTATTTCTTATAGTCTTACTGCTTTGGCAGGATGAATAGAAAAGCAGCATGTTATTTAAATAGCTAGTTGCAGAACTCTGTGGTTATAGAGGGATCTGGTGTCCCAGTACATGAATCTCAAGGTTAGGATACAGGTACAGCAAGTGATTTAAAAGGCAAGTGGAATGTTCTTGTGATATTTTGCAATAGTTACACAGGCATTGATAAGATCACATTAGGAGTACCAAATACAGTTTTGGTTTCCCTATTTGATGAAGGATACAAATGTGTTACAAGTAATTCAGAGAAGATGCACTCAATTGATACCTGGGATGGAGGGTTTTCTTATGAGGGTTTGACAAGTTTGTATCCATTGGAGTTTAAAGGAATGTGGAAAAGACCAGAACTTGGGGACACCATCTAAAAATTAAGAACTTCCCATTTAAAATAGTAATGAGGTGAATTTTTTTTGAGGATTGAGAATTTTTGAAGCCGGCTTCCCCAGTGAGTGATGGAGTCAGGGTCATTGAACATTTTTAAGGCAGAAGTAGATATGTTCTTAGGTTCTTGACTAACAAGGGAGCCAAAAGGATGGACAGGAAATTGCAGTTGAGGCTGCAATCAGATCAGCCATGGTCTCATTGAACAGCACAACATGTTTGAGTGGACAAGTGCCCTGCTGCTGTTCTCAATTTTATCCTTGGTTTTTTAAACACCATTTGAAGAAGCACAGTATGAAAATCGAGCCTCTCATTTATATTCGAACCCATTGGAATGATAGCAGGATGGTGTAAGGTCAATATTGTAAATCCCCATGATTTGACAATCTGAAGCTAACCTGAAAATTTGCCTCCTGTTTCTTGTTATCCCACTGCTTTTATCAAGGTATCCATTATATCCTGAAAAGTAAAAACTCTTAAATTTTGATTTCGAGCCTGTCTGCTAGAAATGAGGGTAGCCTTTTCAACATGTGATATCTGCCTCAATCAGTCATACAAAGCCTTCAATGCTTAATAAAATGTGTGATGTAGCAATTTCTGAGCTTATTTGCACATGTGGGGTGTTAGCATTGATGGGAGCAGCCTTCCACACAATTGAGAAATTTAGGTCCTGTTGCTTGCTGTCTCGAGATTAAAGATTGTAGTTGAGTCTGAGAGGAATCTCAGTGATTATAAATGAAGCATCACACTTAACACTGTTTTGCCCTGCTCAATCGCTAAAAGAATGCATGGTAGAGTGTCTGTTTTTGCTCAGTGGTGGTCAACATGAGCCACTTCCTGACGCAGTTAAGTTTTCCTTCCTATTGGCCCCTTTTCCTTTGTCATTTGTCATGCTGTAATATGAGATCTAAGTGCAGCAAACAGTTTAAAATGGCCCTTGGTCTGGTTTGGGTTCTGTATGCTTTAGTGCAAGCCCTGATGCTTTCAACATTTACAACAATACCAGGATTTACTACTTATAACATAATTATACATTCTGTTATATGTTACAGAAGATATTTCACAAGATGAAAGTAATTGTGGTTATATTTTCACAGCATTAGTTTTCAGTTCCACAATTTACACATTTTTTAAAAGAAAGTTGGATGCATTTAATTTCTTTCATTGATTACCACTTATGTTTGTTTTGCAGTGCTAACCAAAACAGTGGTGATACGGTTATTTGTAACTATTATTAGCAAGTTTTAGTTTCAAAACGACAGTTTTGGAACAAATTGTTACTTGCGTAAAAACACTTCCTTTGAGTAACATTATTCTACATATGTTTAACTTTATTTTGCCTTTACTGGCTGAATTAAGTGCTGGAATAAAAACAAATAAGTACAAGTGCGTGAATAGGTGTTTTGTTTTCCCATTTCCCTACGTAACCATCCTGAGGTTTCATAACAATATTGTTAATTAATGCTGAGTCTTCAGAGTAATTGTGAACTGTCTGCTTATGCTGTCTACAAGTTGATTTGACACAGTCCTGGCTCTCATATAGGACTATTACAGTCAACAGGCTGTGGAAATTCTCAACCTGTCACCCAGAGTTGGATTTAAACTTGCATCACAATGATGAAAGAAAGTGTCTAAAACCTTTAAAAGGCACTCATTCTTTTAATCGTTGTTTGGGTGGAAGTAGATGTTGCAATGTTTATTTACTAAGTGAACGATGAGAGAGCTCAGCTATTTAGCAACCATCTGCTAGTTGTGGCAGTGTTGAAGCGAGCTCAGGTCAGGAAATGTTCTTCATATGTAATTAAGGCACGACCTAGATGCTAAATAGCTAGCATCAGTGACTACTGGGTGGGGCACAGATTCCCAGAATTCTTTGAATGCAGAAAGATGCCATTTGGCCCAACATTTCAGCACTGAGTGAGTGAGCATTGTAGCTTGGTGCTAATATCTTGCCTTTCACCCTATTCCCTACACATTGGATGATTACTTGAATAGAAACAATGCCATCCTGAATGCCTTGATTGAAACTGCCTCCACTATGTTTCCAGACAGTGCAATTCAGACTCAAATCACTCGCTGCATGAAAATGTCTCACACAATGCATTCGTTGCTTTTGCAAATAATTTTAAATCTGTGTCCCCTCATTTTCAATCCCTTTACAAGTGGGAACAGTTTCTCTCTCTCTCTCTCTCTCTCTCTCTCTCTCTCTTTACTCTGTTCAGTCCATTTGAGTTTCGAAACCTCTGGCAAATTGCCTCTTCATCGTCTCCTCTCCAAGTCAGTACTTCTCGAATCTATCTTTGTAACTGAAGTTTCTCGGGAACTATTCTTGCAAACCTTTTCTGCATTCTCTCCAATGTGTTTGGAATACTGCGTGCAGATCTAGCCATCACAGTACGAGAAGGACGCCGATGCTCTGGGGAGACTACAGAGAAGGTTTACTAGATGTTGCCTGATCTCGAAGGTTTTAGTTGTGGGGAGAGGTTGGACAAACTTAGATTGATTTCACTGGAAAGACCGAGGCTGAGGGCCGACCTGATAGAGGCCTACAAAATTATGAAAGGCATGAATAGAGTGGATAGTCAGAGGCTTTTTCCCAGGATGGAAAGGTCAACTACAAGAGGGCACAAGTTCAAGGTGAGAGGGGGAAAGTTTCCCCGCACTTCTCCCCTGAAATTTTTCACACAGGATGCTGGGTGCCTGGAACACACTGCCCATGGAGGAGGTGGAAGCAGGCACATTAATGATGTTTAAGGCATATCTTGACAGAGACATGAACAGGACGTGAACAGAAGGATAGATACCAGGCATGGGCAATAAGTAGTGGGTCTAAGTAAGGATTAGGAATCAACGCAGGTTTGGTGGGCCAAAGGGCCTGTTCCTGTGCTGTATTATATTGTATTGTATCTTTCCTAAAGTATGTCACCCAGAGCATCATGCTGTACTCAATTTTTGATTAAGGGGAGTATCACAGCAGTAGTCAGAGATGAAATAACTGAGCGATTATCTGGTGAGGCTTTGTGGGTGGAACCAAGAAACAAGAAGGGGATCGGTAATGTTATTAGGGTTGTACTACGGCCCCCAAATAGTCAACGGGAATTAAAGGAACAAAAATGCAGGGAGATGGCAGAGACTTGGAGGAGCAACAGGGTTGTCATGGTGGAGGATTTTAATTTTCCTAACATAGCCTGTGAGTGCCATAGTGTTATGGGCTTAGATGGGGTGGAATTTGTTAAATGTATTCAGGAAACTTTCCTCAAGCAGTATATAGAGGGTCCTACTTGGGGAGGACAGGTGACTGAGGTAACAGTGGGGGAGCACTTTGGGACTAGTGACCATAGCTCTATTAATTTTAAAATAGTTATAGAAAAAGACAAAACTGGTCCACAGGTTCAAGTTCTAAATTGGGGCAAGGTGAATTTTGATGAAATTAAGCAGGAGCTTACAAGGGTTGATTGGAA